TACATCGTTGTTCATGATCTTCATCTGGGTGTATGGCGCTGGCCTCTGGGAGGCTGTTTCAGTGCAGCGCTAGACTCTGAGAGTGGAGTAGTGAGCGGGGTGTGTGGTACTGGGGTGGCAAGATACTGGGTTGAACTCTGGAACGATAATTGAAGCTAATTGTGTTGAGTTGGCTCATCATCAAGGTTACTTTCCAATTGTGATCTTCGCAGTGTCAATTGTGATTGGTTTTTGGGAGTGTGTCAGGGAGAGGGAAACACTGAGTGTATTCTCCCCTTCTGTGCATAATTGCTATTCCGCTGTTTATCTCTGATCTGTGTGCAGTTGGATTCTGTCTCCTCCTCCCCTTGGTCTCATGCATGTATGGGCGTGTGTGAGTTCTTTTGTGTGTGAGTGGCAAATAAATTGTCAAACAACCAAGTTAATAACAGTTGGTATCGGAGCGAAGATTGGACTTGGAGCTCAGAGGGTTGAGTGCAACAGGGGCAGCTTCTCCTTCTGGCCCTAACTGGCGAGAAGTGCCATGGTGGTTCTTCATCTTCGGTAAAGATCCAGTGGAGGAGAAGAGATACAAACGATGATTGCAGAGTATCAGTTTGCGATTGATCAGGCACCATGAGCCTGTATGCGTGCCTGACAGGAATTGGCGAGAAGAGGGATATTTTGCCATCCACTCTTTTGACCCCAGTTGATGACTGGCATCAGGGTGGCGAATTACACCCTAATCCAGTGATAACTGGGTGGCGGCTTCAATCCCAATACAGCGTTGAGGGAGGATTGATCACCGGATCACCTCCTGCTAAATTAACCCTACCCAGGGCTAAATTTAGCACCAGCGGCACATACCTTGCAGTGGCGAGATATCTTCGGGAGAGTTTTCTCTCGCCACTGAGCCAGATTCAGTGAATCTGAGAGGTGGGACCGAATCGCCACAACATACTGGAGCGGATCAACAAGTTTCAGGGGATTCTATACGTGGGAAGCTGTGGAAGAGTGTCTGCAAGTACTGGCGAGACCAGGGTTTGGCAGCCATAGTCAGAGCTTCATCACCGACTGAGTGAAATACTTCAAGTGAGTGTGTTCCATGGGACTCCCTGAGTAGCGATTAGTATAGAGTCAGTAAAACTAGAAATGATGGTCTGTCTGTCAGTAGGGTCACAATCGTGAAATTGTCAGACTGCAAGACAGCCATATCCATCTTTTTCCTCCCTACCCTGACTCATATCTCACTATCTATTGACCTGTTCTGACTCAAAATTGTTTTGGGACTGTATGACAGTATTGCGCTGCATCCTGTATGATCATACTGTGAATTCTGTGTAGGAAAAGTAATGATACTGTGGATTTGAGTTTTGCGCTGAGTCTATTCATAGTCTGTGCTATGTAGGGTCAGTCACAACTCGAAATCTGTCCGTCAGAATTCAAGTCTGTCAGTCTGGGGTGAATCGCAATTCAATTTTTGTCATCTGTGCTGAAGCGCTAGTCCAGAATTAGTGAATCTGAGCCATTACAGTGAAAATCCTAAAATTCGGCATATCTGGGGGTATTTCTGTTGATGTCAACAGTGGCAAAATTTGAGTTTAGGGCTGTCAGGGGGGAAGTTTACTGCATCGCTACTACTTGTTGTGCTGTTTCAGTTAATTCTTGCCTGTATCCATCATCACCACTAATCTTCTTTGCTTTTTTATGGGCTCCGGAATGCTAGTGACCTCTGGAATGATGTGAAAGTGCATGTTGCAACTCCAGTGAAAGTTCAGTGTCAGGTATAGGAAATCGTTAGTGCATGATTTTACTGGACACCCAGTCACCCTAATTACTGACCCCAGTGGTTCTATTCCAACCCTAACCGCTTGTGCCCACTGACCCACATTACTCTGTGAACACACAGTGCAGCGAATTTTGAGTGTCTGAGTGAACTATAAATCGCTGCACCTCCTGCTGTTTTACTTTGTTAATTTTGTGTTCTGAGAGGGAAAATGTCTGATACCGCTGACACAGGTGCAGGGCAGGTTGAGGTAGTGGTTAAGGATGAGGGTCAAGCGTCACCCTCAACAACTCCTCCTCCTCCCCTGACCCCTGCGCAGCGACGCAAGAAGGAGATCCAAGAGAAACTGCGAGAGCAACAGGCGCTGCTCGCAGAGGTAGAAAGACAAGAGGCTGCAGAACTGAAAGCTGCAACAGATGCTTCCAGGAAGGAATATCTGCTGCAGCAGGCTGAGAAGACTGCTGCGGATAACAGAGTGGCCCAGTGTACCAGAGACCTGGCTGAGCTGGTGATCTTGCAAAATAAGATCACAGCCAGCCACTTCACAAACTGGGATGAGAGGATCCAGCGGCTGGAGACCAGAGTGGCTGATCTGGGGACCCAGCAGTCTAAGATCCTGGATGCTATCCAGAATCTGACTGCTCAGTTAACAGCAGCCAATGTCATCAGTCCCCTGGTCCCTGTGGTCCCCTCTCTGAAACCCAAGAAGCCTTCTCAGCCCCCTTCTCCACCTCCTTCTCCACCTCCTGGGTCTCCTCACTCGACTCGCAAGTCTTCCCCCTCTGTCACCTCCCAGGCCAAAGCCACGCCTCCTCCCACCTTTGCTGTTGTTGTTGTTGGGGACCAGCGAGGCCCCAAGATCCCTGCCCCCAGCAAATTCAAGGGGGATGACCCCAAGATTGACGTTGGGGACTGGGCAGCTGGAACCCGGGCATATCTCAAGGGCTTCCAGTGCCCAGAACAGCAAAAGGTGGCAACAGTGGTGGGGCTGCTGGAGGGGCCAGCCCAGAAATGGGCTACCTTTACAGCCAGCGCCCAACAGCAGACTCTGGAGGACTGGGCCTTGGCACTGGGGGCTGATAAACTTTTGCAGGCCCTGGAGGACAGATTTGCAGACAAAGAAAGAGCCCGCAAAGCTGCTGATAAAATAGTACGCCTGGGCCAGCAGCGTTATAGCGGCAGTCTGCAGGCGCTGTTCGCAGAATTTGAACAGCTCACCTCCACCCCTGGGTTAGTCATGTTTGTTGATGATCTTTTGACTAACTTTTGCAGGGCTATGCCTGAAAAGTTTTGTGTGGCTTTGTACAGCGCAGGGCATAAGGACTGGAGGTCCTTTGGACGTGCAACACTGGATATGGAGGCTAAGCTCCATGTTCAGGCCCCCTCCAGTGATAGGAGGAAAGGCGCCTTCCCTCGCGGTGGTAGAAAGGGAAAGGCGGCCTTTGCATATGCGGGCTCTGGATCAGCCTCTGACACAGGCTCCCACCCAGGTACACCGCTAGCTGGGACTGTTTCAGCTGTCGTTCCGGATGTTGCAGCCATGGTACAGCAGCTGCAGGCTGCGCTGGGGGCCTTCCAAAAGGCCGGGTCTCCCTTCAGCACAACGTCCGGCAGCAAGGGGAAGAGCCAAGGATGTCGCTCTTCAACCCCTGCCCGGCGCCCTAACCTGCCACGTGACGTCCATTTTCCTGCAGACCCCCTCAATCCCAACACCCTTCCCTGGCATGACTTGAAGATTCAGGAAGGGGTGTGGAGAAAGAGGAAGGAGAGGGGAGTCTGCCTGAGGTGTGAGGGACAGCATTTCCTCAAGGACTGTCCCTACATGCCTAGCCCAGCTCAGTCAAAAAATTGAAGTTGAACCTGGAGACTGCAGTTCCCTCCAGTGCTGCACCTGCATCTGCATCTGCAGCAGCTTCAGTTGAGACTTGTTCCTTCCTACCCAGTGTGGGGATTGCGCGGGCAGCATCCTTCACCTATGAGGATCCTGACCCGGATCAGGAACCGGATCAGTCTGAGTGTCAATCACTTGCTGCTTTTTTCTTTCATCTGAAAGAACAAAAGCAGAACAAGTCTGATCTCATACTCAGTTCCCTCCAGTGCTGCACCTGCATCTGCATCTGCAGCAGCTTCAGTTGAGACCTGTACCTTCCTACCCAGTGTGGGGACTGCGCGGGCAGCATCCTTCACCTATGAGGATCCTGACCAGGATCAGGAACCAGATCAGTCTGAGTGTCAGTCACTTGCTGCTTTTTTCTTTCATTTGAAAGAACAAAAGCAGAACAAGTCTGATCTCATACTCCTTCGGCCCCTCCCTGTCCTCCTGAGATACAGCAGGTTGTGGACCAGTACGATGATCTGATGCAGGAGCCCTTTGGGTTACCCAACCGGCCAACCAAGCATCACATTGAACTGCTGCCTGGAGCGGTCCCTCCCAAGGGCCACATCTACGAATGTCACCTATTGAGCTTGAGGAGCTCAGGCGACAGCTTGAGACCCTGACCAGCAAGGGCTGGATCAGGCCCAACACTTCTTAATTCGGTGTTCCAGTCCTCTTTGTTCCAAAGGGGAGTGGTGAGTTCAGAATGTGCATAGATTACAGGGGTCTCAACAAGATCACTAGGAAGAGTACAGAGCCACTTCCTAGGATGGATGACCTTCTGGATACGGTCCAGGGCTGCACCATTTTCAGCAGAGTCGACCTCAAATCTGGCTATCACCAGATTGAGATGGCAGAGGAGGACGTCCACAAGACGGCCTTCAAAACCAGATATGGTACTTATGAGTATCTGGTTATGCCATTTGGACTTTGCAATGCACCTGGCACATTCTAGACTGAGATGCACCGCATATTCAGGCCGTACCTGTATAAGTTTATGGTTGTCTACCTGGATGATATCCTGGTATTCAGCAAAACTACCAGGGAACATGCGGAGCACCTGACTCTGGTTCTTCAGTCGTTACGCGACAGCCAGTACAAGATTAACAGGGAGAAGTCCTCCTTTGGAATTCCCTCTGTCATCTACCTGGGTCACGTAATCTTTGGAGATGGTCTGGCCCCTGAAGCATCCAAGATTGCTGCTATTCAGGATTGGCCACAACCCCAGACAGTGAGAGATGTCCGGTCTTTCTTGGGTCTGGCCTCGTACTACAGAAAGTTCGTCAGAAACTTTTCTGCAGTGGCTGCACCCCTGACTAACCTCACAAAGAAAGACACTCCCTTTCTTTGGTCCCTTCACTGTCAGATGGCTTTTGCACAACTCAATCAGGCCTTGACTCGTGCACCTGTACTGAAGTTACATGACCCCACTTTGCCTTTTGTTCTGACTACTGATGCTAGCCAGTATGGCATTGGGGCCGTACTTCAGCAGGATGATGGGAATAGTCTGAGACCTGTCGAGTTCATGAGTAAGAAGATCAAGACTCAGAAGCTTCAGGACTCTACCTACGAGAAAGAGCTATATGCTCTTGTCAGTGCCCTGAAACACGGGAAGCACTTTCTCCTGGGCAGGCACTTCAAGATCTTTTCTGATCATTCCACTTTGCAGTGGTTGAAGTCCCAGGGAGAGTTGAATGATAAGTTGGCACGTTACATTCAGTTCATTGATCTGTTTGACTTTGAACTGAAGCACAATAAGGGTTGCTACAATAAGGTAGTTGATGCCCTCTCTCGTAGGCCTGACTCTTTTGCGCTGATCTCCTCTACTCATTCCTTTGGAGAGGAGGTCCGTCAGACCATTGCTCGTTCACTGCCTCAGGGTCCGTGGCAGGTTCTAGATACAATGGGCGCTGATCCCTTCGGTCCGTCGTACGTTATCGACGTTCCGCTGCATCTACGAACCTATCCAGTCTTCCATGCATCTAAGCTGCTGTCGTTCACGCCAGTTGATGCATTCCCTGACCGGCCCCCTCAATGAGGCCCACCAATCCCTGGTAAGGGGTATGATGTGGTGGCCATTGAGGATGAGTGGGGCACTGGCCCCGACCGGCAGTATCTTGTCAGGTTCGCTTTTCAGCCACCTTCTGAGAACTGATGGTTCTACAGCAGAGACCTGATCAAGACAGCAAAGTCCGTTGTATTGCGGTATGAGGCAGCTTAGAAGGGTGACCTTCGTCGTTCCCCTCGTCTACACCCCTAGCTCGGAAATCCTCGCTCCCGGGGAGGGTAAGCCTGCAATGACTTGCTGATTTTGCTGCCGAGATTGGCTGCGAGGTTGTACTATGCTGTGTGGTTTTGCATGCCGACTGACCCTGTTGTGTGTTTATTTGTGTGCACGCATCCGTCCCACTGAGCCCCTAAACTTTTCTAAAAATAGTACCGGTCCTATGCTGCTGCAGCAGCGTCCCAGTCTTCCCCGATGTTAGAGGCCCTGAGGGGCCCACAGTGGGTAGAGCCCGTAGCTGGGTAAGGGCCTGGAGGAAGTGAAACGGTACCGGTTTGTCTATTTTTCGGTGCAGTAGGCCTGGTAGGGTCTAGGCCAGTTTAGGTTAAGTAGGGTAGGACCGATAGTGGTA